ACATAGGATTCGCTTATTATTTTTCGTGCGTTATAAATTTCTAAAACGCGAAAACTTGTTTGGCTAATCCCTCTCTGACCTAAATCTCGGTGCTTAGCAAGCTCATAACACCAGGGGTGTTACACTTCTTGTCATGTTGCTAAAAAACATCATAATATCTATAGTTTCATAATCCATTAGTCAATATTTTTTTTATTTGGAATCAATCAATATTAAATTTAAGCGTATCAAAAGCTAACCTCTCTACCATGCAAAAACCCCATAGGTATCGAGTATATATAGATCAAGAATTTTCTTGGCATGGTCCTTAGGGTATTAACATATGCATATGATATAAATGATTATATAGTTGTAGGGTGTCAAGGAAACCATGCGATATACTTGCGTACCTCAAAAACTTGGTCTTGATCCTGGTCTTCAAAGGCTTGATCCACAAACTGCTCACTCTCGAGATGGTGGTCCTCATGCAGCAGGATCTTTCGAGGCTCGACGACGCAGCAACGGCAACAGCAGGTCACCGGAGACAGCACCCGAGTGGTGGCGGTGGAGTATGGCGAAAGGTGAAAAGGGGAAATGAGGTAGGCCTCAGTCTAGACTTTATAGGCGGGGTGAGGGGCGGTGAAGGGCCGCGAGTGCTCCACTAGGCCGCTGGGCAAGTGGAGTGGCCATTAAGGCCACTCACGGTGGCGGTTACTGGTGGGGAGGAAATGGCGGCGGCGGCGTTTCAGCTGGAGGAAGGAGAAGGGCCGGAGGGTCACTACCAGGTGGGGTTGGAGCTTCAGCGGGGTTGAGTGTGCTGGCAAGCGGGGCCAGGCTACATCGAGAGAGGGAGGTGAGGCGGCGGCTGCGTGCGCTCCACTCACAGATGTGGGCTAGCTGGGCTGCAGCGGGGCCCAAGGCGGGAGCGAAACAGGCGTTGGGGGAAGGAGGAGCCATTGGGCCTCGGTTGGGCCTGCTGCGCGCAAAAAGAAAAGAAGGGAGAGGAAAGGGCTGGGCCGGCTTTAGCTTTGGGCTAGAAAAGGAGGGAGAGGCTGATTTTGCAAACTTGCCCAAATTCAAACAAAGTTTGAATTCAAACCACTCAACACTATTCCTACAATCAAATAAAATATTGTGCGCTAGCATGAATGTAACAAAAATGTTTCTAAAGCCTTATATTTAATTTTTAATATTTATATGAATTATTATTTGGTCTAACTGAATCATGGAAAATTAAATTAAATAAGAAAAATTATTGCTATATGGGAAAATGATTTTTAGGGTGTTACAGTCCATGGCCACTAGCCACTGCAGAGCGTGGCATGTTTCTTCAGCAATAAATGGAAACAATTCCCAAAACAATCCAAACAAATTGTGTCATCCGTTCCCCTGCAATTGGGGGGCCTTTGGTAGCGCTCCCGGGACAGCTCTGGGAGCAGTTTTGTGGCTCTCGCAACCAAACGGGTTCAGGCAGAACAGTTCCAACATCGAATCTCCTCAAAACGCACTAAGACAAGTATGCGGGAGTAGAAGGAGCCGAAAGAAGTAGTTCCCTCCGGCTCCTTCTCCCTCGGATCACCAGTTGGACGTCAATGCCCTCGGGTCCACTCCTTGTAGATCTCCTTCCTCCTCACGCGCTCACGGCCATCCCTTTCGCGGAGGAGCTCGGCGGTGGTAGGGGCATCGGCGATGGTAGGGGCGAGTCGGCGACGGTAGGGGTTGGGCATGGGGGCACGACCATGGGTGGCGAGGTAGACCCTTGGTGCGGCCCTCAGCGATGAGGCAGGCTTCCTGGAGGTGGCGTGGGGCTAGGCGAGGCAGAGTTGTGGGCTACGGCGCTTGGCCACCGATGATGGGGCTGAGAAGGCCAGCTATGGAGTTCCGGCGTGGGAAGAAGGAAGGAAGAGGACAGGTCGCACGTGCGCGCCGGCGAGGAGCGCGGACCGCGGGAGCTGACGAATAGGAGGGGTCTAACGCAACTGGGGTGGAGGATTTGCCAAATGGTAAAAAAATAGATTTAACTTCCCTAGTGAATCTGCTCCATCGATGAAGCCATAACTAAAGCTGTTTTGGCTAGAGTCAGAACTGTACCAAACGGGTGGTACATTCAGGTTAACATTTGTTTTTTCTCGATCACGCAAAAGGTTTACGCATCTTTTTATTAAGGTAGAGAAAAAGTTTAATACAACATGCCTTAACGGCGCCCTAGGTGGTCAGAAGAGTAGTACATGGACGCTCGACCCTTCGTAGTGTATTGAATGCTATGATGTTGCATTGGATACAGATCAACCCAGCTTGCGGTGCCAGCTAGGGGGCCTATGCCTGGGCTACTGAGCGGTGGCGGCGCTGCTTGCGCGCACCCACGTCGTCGTCCTGTGGGAACAACTCACGTAGTGCCTGCATATTTCTGGGGTCATCGCCATAGATTTCGTCATACGCCTTCAGGGCCGACGTCGACGGTGATGACATCCTGCTAGTGAGTCCTAGACGCTTCAAGACAAGGTGCTCACCTTGCTTGGACGTTGGGATATGTGATATGCTCTACGCCGCTATCTGCCTGCTCCTCTTAGGTAGCGCGAGTGGTGTACGTCCAGCATGGGCCGTATCAACTCCAGGTAGCTCCAGGAGTGGTGGCTGTCTCGCCTTTGTGACTCCCTCGGTGAAGTGCTTGAGGCGTCTGTCGACGGAGGTCGTCTGAGGGGGTGGAGTGCGGCTGGCGGCATCTCCCGAGGTGGCTGCCCCGACTAGCGCTAGGTCAGGGCGCGTCTCCGCATCCACGATGCCGGGCTATCACCCCCATGGCGGCGTGACTTGTGGTGGCCTATGCACTGGCAACATCGTAGGAGAGACCATCGTGCACTGGGCATCCTTTGCCAGAGAGCGCGCGTCCACTCGGGATGCATTCGCATCTTGAGAGGCCACCACCGACGCCGGCGGACACCCAGGCGCTGGCACTCCTGCTGGGCGACTAGCGACGTGCGAGGCGACGAGCTCCTCCAGCATAGGGTCGACCCACGCAGGAGTCCCCGTATTCGCGCACCGCTCTAACGCCAGCGGATCTGGCTCAGGGAAGCAGAGTGTTGCAGCAGCAGTTGTAGTAGCGTTGTCGGTGTAGCCAGCAGGTGCGCCTAAGCTGATGTCCATAGTCAGCTGAATTCGGCGTCGCCATCGTCCTCGTCGAGTTCCACCGGCGCCCCCTGTGGCACCTTGCACGGCCCCATTGGAGCCGCCGTGCGGAGCGTGCTGGGAGGCCCGTGGGTTGCCGCCACGGGTGGAGTGGCGTGACCGGTCATCAGCCTTCTTTGCCGACGTCGCAGTATGCCTGGACCACTTGCATTCCCTGGCGAGGTGGTGAAACTCATGGCAGCGCAGACAACGCCCTAGCAACTGGCAAGTCGCTACTCGATGTGAGTAGGAAAGACAGTTGAAACATATGCCATGAAGCTCCGCGGGGATCTTCCGGGTCTATGGAAGCTGCTTCTCAGCCGAGGCAGCCACCGATCGCGTGTCCTGCAGGTGGAGGATCTCCCGCCAACCATCGGTGTCGGGGGCGGAAACCCACCCGTGACGACCAAGGCGTTGGCGGGTGGGGATGCGCCCATCCACAGGTTGAGCAGGTAGGCCATATACCAACTGGGGGAATGGCCGGCTGCGCTTCCTCCGTCTTCGCCTAGGCCCTTCTAGTCCCGCGCCCATTCTGCCATGGCCTAGAACCATGGCCAAACGATTTTGGCCGCGCGGCGAGGGAGCAACTACCGCCTTGGCCGGCCGACGAGCAGCATCTAGGTAGGTTGCTAGGGGTCGTTATCGAAGTCCTTGCCGTCATCGTCTTCGTCCTCATCTGCCCACCGACGATGCTTTGTGTGTCCTCCCGGGGCGCCACCTGGGTAAAACGGAGCCGTCGTCGATGAGAGGGTGGAAGGGCTTCGGGTGTCCGGAGTCGCCACGGCAAGCCCAAAAGGTGCAGACTTGGGACCACATAGCGGCGTGGAGTGGTCGTAGTCGTCGGCGGTAGCGCTCACTGCGCTGTCTGGCTGGCGGGGCGCCTAGGCCCCGAGCTAGGTGGTCACCTCTGCTGCAGGAGCCGGCCCCGTGGTGGAGAGGGCATCGGCGCGCTGGAGGAGGAGGACTAGGGCGGCGACACGCTGGAGGAGGGCTTGGACGGCTGCGTAGACTGCGTCGTGCGCTCCACATCGCCAGTGGAGGCTACGGGCTGGAGCACCGGATGGGCGGTGGGGGCTCACGGGCTACTAGATCTGACCTCGGTAGACGGCAAGGCCACTGCGACGGCGGCTCCCGGCTCCGGCGGTTGAGGGCTGGCGAATGGGTCCGCCACGGGCAGCGGAGCCGCGAGCACGGCGCCCCCACGCGCGGGCGAGGAGGGGAGGAGGGAGAGGATGCAGGGAGGGGATGGGAGGGGGAGGGGTGGGGTGCCGGTGCCGGTGCTGGTGCCAGAGCGGCGCCCGACGGTGGGGAGGGATTCAGAGGTGGGGTCAGGGTTAGGGACGCTCCTTATAAGTCACCTTCAGATCTCAGTTCAGGTTAACATTCGTAGTGCCGAACTATAATTGACTAAGCGCGTGTTTAGTTGCCTGAATTTTCGAATTTATGCTACTATAGCACTTTCGTTTTTATTTGGCAATTAGTGTTCAATCATGGACTAATTAGGCTCAAAATATTCGTCTCGTAATTTCCAACTAAACTGTGCAATTAGTTTTTTTGTCTATATTTAATGATCTATTCACGTATCGCAAGATTTGATGTGATGTGTAATATAACACTTTTTGAGAATTTGGGGTGGAAACTAAACGCGCGCTAACGGAGGGTGTTTTCTGCAACTGGTCTAGTCTAACATCGCTACCCGTGCAGCGAAGGTCGCTCATCCCTTGCAGCTGCAGACCTGCAAGCCCTCCTTCCATTGACTTCTCTTTTTCCCCTTCTCCCCTACTGCGAACAAGGGAGTCCCTCTCCAGATCCACCAACAAATGGAGGGAGTAGAATTGCCTATCTCTGTAGGGAAAATGGCGGCGGCATCTGCAATCTCGTTGGCGGACCAAGCCTATGGCTTGGGTGCTATCATGGATGCTCAACGGCGGATCCTGTTGTGGGGACTCCGAAACATCCAAGCAGATCTCGAACGAACTGAGCGTCGGCTTATCAAGGGGGACCTCCCTTTCAATTGTGACTTGTCTGGGGAAGCTAGTAAGGAAATCTGGTTGTTAAGGGACGCTACTGATCGGATGGAAGATGCCATCGACGAAATCTACTACCACAGGTTGGAGCAAGAGGTTGGTAATCCCATCTCCATGTCCGTCAAAAGAAAGTTTGTCAACAAGATTGCACGGTTTGGTATTCCGTCGAGTAGCCTGAAAAAGCTGAGGGAGATGGCGGCTCTCTTCTTACCACAGCATCAGGAATACCGACTTCCCTACCTAGGACAACGGTTAAGTGATATTTATGATGCTCCTGCCGTCAATGAGCGATACCCCAGTTGGCAAGCAACTGGAGGTGGTTCTTTTGGTCGGGACGGGGCAAAAGAAAAAATAGTGCAGTCGTTGACGGAGGATATAGCTGAAGACAACCCTGTTTCTGTTTATACAGTGGTAGGGATGGCTGGAATGGGGAAAACAACACTTGCTAATATCATAGGTCGAGACCCAAGAGTGTCCAAAAACTTTCACGCTGTGGTATGGGTGACCGTGTCTGCTGATTTTAATACAGAAGAAATCACAAGAGTTATACTGGAATCAATTACCGGTAGACCACCTGCATACTCTGGTATTAACCTTCTGCAGAGTTCTCTTACTGATACTCTCAGATATAGGAAGGTTTTGCTAATTCTAGATGATGTCTGGGAAGATAATAGTCTTGAAAAGTGGCAAACTTTATTGGCTCCTCTAACGGTCTGCAAGAAAGGAAGCTGGATCCTGCTGACAACCCGGATGCAATCAGTCGTGGATATGGCAGCTGCTGCTGTGGGAAATCAAGTTCAATATCTGAAACTGGATGACTTGGATGAAGATGACAGTCTCATGCTCCTAAAAAGCCGACTGCCTTCTCAGATTGATTCTGAATATTTTAGTAATCTTATGCTGATAGCTGAACAGATATTGAAAAAGATTGGTGGATGCCCTCTAGTAATCATTTTTGTTGCTTCATGGTTGGGGGCACATATGGAGACCCATGATTGGATTACAGTATCGCAGAAAGGCTGGCAGCACATTACAGAGAAGGACATCATTATTAGATCTCTGAGATTGAGTTATGATTGTCTGTCTGCAGAACTGCAAGCTTGTTTTAGATATTGTAGTTTATTTCCTAAAGGATACAAGGTTAGCAAGGTAGAACTGTCAAAAATGTGGGCTGCTTCTATATTGATACCTTTTAGCTCATTGAAGCAAAAGAATATTGGCCTACACAAAACAAAACATGCTGACTTATTGAGCTCAGAGGTTGTGGGGGAAGAATACTTTGATGCATTAGTGAGAAAATCGTTCTTTATCCGTATGTTAGAAACAGAACCTTCTAGCGGAGATCAGAAAGAATATTACATTTTGCATAATTTAATGCATGATTTGGCAGAACTCGTCTCTCAAGGTGAATGTGTAAGAGTGGATAGTGGTAATTTGCATAACATCAGCTATAAAACACGACACCTGTCTATTGCACATTTCAGCAATTTAGTGGCGATGTGCAATCATCAAGAGATATTTTCTTCTCGTTATGACAAAAATCCTCTATATTTGCGGACTCTTATCATACAATCTGAGTTTGCTATTGACAAAGAGGCTGAAATTTTCCTTGGGAAGTTCCTGAAGAGTTCTAGACACTTGCGTCTACTGTACTTGGGTGTTCCATCACTATTTCATGCACTTGATAGTGTTCCCAGTTTAATTCATCTCCGTTATCTCTTTTTATTTTCATGTGACGAGTCTCATCTTCACAAACTCTTTGGATTGTATCACTTGCAAGTGTTCAAGCTTGAGTACTTCACAGGAAAAGAGGCAAACTGCACTGCTATACATAACTTACGTTTTTTGCGCTGTCTGCATGTTCCTGACAATGTGTCATCTTATATCTATCAAATTGGGAGGTTGACCTCACTTCAGGAGTTACATGGTTTTGAAGTAGTGGAAAAGGATGGTCAGAGATTGAGTTCATTGGGGAGTTTAAAAAGCTTGTGCCAACTCAGCCTAAGAAATCTTCAAAATGTCTCGAGTTGTAAAGAAGCTTTGGAGATCAAATTGAAGGACAAACATCAGATGCAGTATTTGTCACTGGTGTGGAACAAGCACTTGAAGGAACCAGTGAATCGAGATGATCAGATTATTGATGATCTTGAACCAAACGAAGAAATTCAGCAGTTACACATTCATGGTTACAACGGAGTCAAACTTCCATTTTGGATTGAGAACTCGTTGCCCATACACTTGGTGTCACTTGAGCTTGAATACTGCATGAACTGGAAGAGCCTGCCCTCTCTTCGAGAGCTTAATTCACTTAAGTATTTGATTTTGGAGAACCTTTTTCAGTTAGAATACATAGGTACATTGCCCGAGCTGCATCTTGAGGCTGTCGAGTCAGATAATGCTTGGCTGCCTCCATTTCTCAGTACTCTCATTATTCGATGGTGCCCAAAGCTGAGGGAACTTCCTGCTATACCATGTTCCCTTGAGCTACTAGTTATAAAGCATGTTCAGCTTGCATTTCTGCCAAGAATACAGCAGAGATATACTCTTGCCAGGGATTCAGCATCAGTAAAATCTCAGCTTACTTTTTTGCACATAGAAAGTTGTGCACGTTTGACTTCTCTGGATGAAGGTCTTTTAGATCAGCAGGAACAACTTCAGTCTCTTACAAGATTGGTTGTAAGGCATTGTGAAAGGCTACGGCATCTGCCAAAGACAGGTTTCACAGTATTAAATCACCTGAATTCCCTTGAGATAGTTGCATGTCCAATACTAAGGGATGTGAAGACCAAAGACAGTCTGCTGCCTGCGTCACTCAAGAACTTGGATTTGAACCCTTGCGGTGATATTGAAGCATCAACTCTCATGTCATTGCAGAACCTTACTGCTCTCAGAAGGCTAACATTGTTCAACTGCACTAATATAGATAAACTTCCATCAGTTGAAGTGTTTGGGACTCTGAACAATCTCAATGATATGTCACTAGCTAGATGCAAAAACTTGTTATCCTTGGGTGGGCTTGGATCCGTTGCCTCCCTAAGAGTGCTATCAATCGTATGCTGTAATAAGCTGAGTTATTCACAGTTGCCACAGGATGGCTGCTCCTTTAAGCTACAGAAGCTCATAATCGACTGGCAAGCTCTATTATCAGTGGAGCCACTAAGGAGCCTCAGACACACCAAGGAGCTTCAAATTGGTGATGATTATGAAATGGAGTCACTGCCTGGGGAGTGGTTGCTCCAGAATGCTGCTTCCTTATGTTCCATTCAAATAGGAGTTGTCCAGTCTCTTTGCTCACTGCCAAATGAGATAGAAAAGCTTGAGTTGTTACAGAGTTTGTGCATAGAAAGTGCCCCTCAGATTCAGTCACTCCCTCAACTGCCTGCCTCACTTAGCAAGCTGACAATCCGGGGCTGTGGCCCGAATTTTTTGAAACGTCATGAAATGGATGGTGAAGATTGGGACAAGATTGCTAACATTGCTAATGTGGATATCAAACCCTACTCTGAAGGTGTGCTTTTATTTCTCCTATCCTTTTCAATTTGTTATGTGGCAATTGTGTGATCATGTAGATATTTGTCTCTAAACCATCTGTAAGTGTGATAGTTTTGGATTATGGTTCTGGAAAAAGCTGATTCTGGACAGTTCATTTATGTGGATGGTGTGTACAAGATCAAATTATGGATTACTAGAGGTAGGTTGGTTGTTTCAGCTTTTGGGCAGAAGATGGAACAAAAAGGCCTAGAAGTTTACCTGATGGAGCATCATCTACCAAAACCATTAATGAGCTAAAAGAAAAGGTCAAACATTTCTTTCAAAAAAAGGCCGAAACAAAAAGGCCCAAAGAATTAATTGATGAACTCCATCCTCATAAAAACCGTTAGTTCATTGCATTGTACAATAGCACTAGTAATTTGGTATGCTATGATGCATTGGTCCTGATTTATTGCAATAATAAGATGAATTTGATCATATATTTTAAGTATATAACAGCCCCATCTGAAATTTTGTATTGTATCAGAGTTTCAGCTTTTCCTGCTATAAAATTTTCATAGAGAATAAAATACTTGTCCACCCAGTTCTGAATTGAAGAATATTCATTCTGAAGATGTTTTTCTCTGCAGAATTTTGGGTTCCCATTTCTGGCTATAGATTTTTATAACTTACACTCCAAAGATCCTTAACATACTATTACTCAAGCAGGCACGGGCTACAGTGATGATCAGGTTCAAGATTTTATCAACGGCAACAGTAATCGTCAGGTTATCTTGATAGACTGAATGAGGCACTGATGATGACTGATGAGTGGTGAAGTATCTATTCCGTACTTTATTCGGGAGGCTGGAATAATATGAGCTTTTAGAATTTAGATAATATATACTTGCCAAATGAAACTGCCTAATGAATGTTCTGTGTTGGCCGCTGTTTTGTACCAATGGTGGATCAGTAATTCCTCAGATGATAAAAGATTCGATCATCAAATTAGTTATGCAATACTTCGGTTTGGCCTGACACTTCGTACGGAGATTTCGGTGCCAGTTCTTTTCCCTGTTGTCCTCTTTGAACAAGTAGCCAGTTTTCTTTTCCTCTCTTTTTACCATAACTGCAGTGCTATGCCGATTCCCATTGATCAGGGTGTGGATGTGTGATGTTCCCTGGCATTTGGTACAAAAAGTGATTCGAGGAAAGCACCCAAGTATGATGCAATCTTTTTCTTAAAAACGGAGCACTCTAGCAACTAGACGACGCGTTGAAGCCAGCAGCTGGCCTAATCTTGTAAGAGCAAGGATAATAATACAGCTAGTTGCTGCCTGTAAAAATCAGTTATAAGCTTACAATCCGCTTCTCTTTTCTATCATCTCTTCTCTCTCCTCCATCTCAGCATTCAGTTTGCTTTTTGTTGTTATACTTGCGGATCACATGGTGTTGCTGGCACGCGTGGCCACGTACCCCAGACGTTTATAGGGAATGAAAGCACACGTGCATATGAATGTCTATGTTCGCCGGCTATCTAGAAATTCCTAACATTTTGGGACAGTTAAACATTTGTAACTATTAAATGACTGTTTTAGTCCTTACACTATACTGTTTTAGCTCAATTTCATCCGTCAACTATACGTAGGTGTTTCGGTGTCCTCAAACTTTTCTAGAAGTGACAGCATGACATTTCACCTAGGTCAAGGAATAAAGTTTAACGGAAAAGAAAATTTTGAGGACACTGAAACACTTCGTTGGTAGTCCACGGATGAAATTGAGCTAAAAAGGCAAAGTGTAATGACTGAAATAGTCATTTAATTATAGTATAAATGTTTCAATTGTCCTAAAATGTTAGGAATTTCTAGATAGCCGGAGCATGAGTCATCACCGACTTGCAAAAGTAGATATTCATATGCATGCATGCTTTCACCCTATAAACACATGTATACCATACCTATATGAGCTGCTCCGATTGATCTTGAAATTAAAGAGTCTTTACATAGGCATACCACAGAAAGAATTAACTCTTAAAATAAATCCATGAAAAATATAAACATCCACAAAAGTATAAACATCCGTATAAGTTGAGGACTCAGAGGACGAAGTCAGTTTTGGTACTTACTTACATCGGTCGCTCCCGAGTCGGCCTGTTAGGGTTCCGCCGCCTGGTGCTCCCACGGCGCCGCGCCGTTGCAGCCCGGCGCGGTGGTCCCCTCCTCTCCCCTCACCCTCCCGTTCCCCATTCTTCCATCCCGGGCCTCTCCATCGGTGCGCCATGGCGGCCATGGCGGGCCCACAAGGTGGCGGGCCATGACGGGCGACGCCGCCCCAACAAAGACCGGGCGCCCGAGTCCGCGACCCCACCTCCTCCTCCGCCGCGCTCCTCCCTACCTCAAGCTGGAGCGCTTGGCGCGCCGCCGGGCCTGCGGCCTTGCTACGCCGCGCAGCAGTGCACCCCCGTGGCGGCGGGTTGTTCGGGCACGGCATACCACCGGTCGTTGCTCTGGATCCTACGGTTCTCTTGGCCGGAGCCAAAGCATCCACCACGGGACGGCATCCTATCGCTCCACCACGGCTGCCTCTCCCGGCTCGGCAGCCACCCCGCACACCAACGCCGGTTCCGCCTCTGGTAAGGCCCTCTCTCCCCGATGCCGCTTCTTCTTCCCTCCGCCGCAGTCCAAATCCATGCGGTGGGATGAGATCTCCCTCACAGACTCGACGACGAGGACGAGCGATCCCCTACCCTCCCCTACCTCGAGCATTGTTCATTGGCGTTGGCGTAGCCCGCATCGATCGGTGGGCGCGCCTTCCACAGCCGACACCGCGCCAGTTGAGCCTGGGCCGAGGTCGCCGAGGCCAACCCATGCATGGCGGCCGACGGACGGCTGGGGTCATCGAACTCGACGGGCGTCGTCAACCAAGGCATCGGCCATAAGCGCGCATGAGGCCGAGAGGCGGTCGCGGGACTCGTCGCCCGTTCCGTGGCGGAGACCCGGCCTATGGAGTGGATTCGGTGCAACATCATGGACGGGGGGGGGACAATCCCCCATAGTTCGCTCGGGCTGGCTAGAACATTGCCGCTGCGGTGATGCTTCTGCGTGGTCTTCCCGAGCCGAACGACCCCCAGGAACAGGCGATCCATCGGAACCTCCGGGCACTGGTGGAAATCGTCGCCGTTCAATAGGCGGAGAGCTCCGCATCGCGACACGGACTCACGGCCTCTCTCCCCACCAGGGGAGTGGGGACGCGCCAGATGAATCGCTCCATCCGCTCGCCGCTGCAGCCACCAGGCGCGGAACAGGAGGCCACAACTACACCATGGCCTGACCTAGCACCCGCTCCACATCGACTGCCTATGCGCGAACGCCTCAGGCCGAACCGAGACGCTCGCAGCGTCATCAGCAACCGACGTCGGGCCCGGCATGATGATGACATCCATCGAGCGACAGTAGGGGTAGGCGACACATACCTCGGTCGGACCATCGAGGGGAGCGGTGAAACGCACCCCAGGCATGGTCGCCGACCAGACGACCGGAGTCTCAGCCCGGATGGCCCGAGACCACGGGCCTTTGGCTGACGCATCCAGAGAGCGCCGTTCCCACAACGCTTCCGACCGCCGACCAACATCGCCAAATATACCGGGGAGACGAATCCCGGTATATGGCTCGAAGACTTCCGGCTCGCCTACCGAGCCGGAGGAGTGGATGATGACCATTTCATCATTCAATACATCCCCATCTATGTGGGGGAACATGTTTGAGCATGGCTCGAATTCCTCCTGCACGACAGCATCCGTGACTGAGCAGACCTCAAGAGAATCTTTGTCGGGAACTTCCAGGGGATGTATGTCCGCCCAGGGAACTCCCGAGACCTCAAGAGCTGCTAGCAGGAGCCCAATGAGTCCCTGTGGGATTACATCCGTAGGTTCTCCAAATGATGCAACGCCCTTCCTGATGTCGTCGACGCGGACGTCATCAGCACATTCCTCTCTGGGACAACCTACGAGTCCCTGATCCACAAACTTGGCTGTCTGAAGCCCCGAAGCACCCGCGACCTACTCAACGTTGCTACGAACCACGCCTCCGACGAGGAGGCGGTCGGAGCAGTCTTCAATGGAGGCCGAGACAAGGGCAAGGCCAAGCGCGAGGATCAAGACGAGGGCCCCTCCATGCAGAGGGGCAAGAAGAACTAGAAGGATCAGCGCCGGCCGGCCAACTCTGTGTTTGTCACCGTAGCTGATCGCGCGGGCAAGCAGCCCTAGCAGGGCCTGCCTGACCACTTCGATAAGCTAATGGATAGCCCATGCACCAACCACGCTTACCCCATCAAGCAACTCTACAAGGACTACGAGCTCCATAAGCGCTTCTTGCGACAGGCCGGCGGGCCAAAACAAGGGAAGGGTAAGGAGGCAGCAGCCAAGAAAGGAGGCCCGGCGAGCAAGGATGGGGATGGCTTTCCCGACCCCGAGGAATGCATCATTATCTTCGGGGGATCCGATGCCATCTACTCCAAGCGCCAGCACAAAGTACGCTACAGAGAGGCATGCGTCGCCGAAACGGCCGTCCCTCCTTCCTTCGCTGGTCGGAATCTCCGATCACTTTTGATCAAAGGGACCATCCCTCCCACGTCGCTAGACTGGGGCGCTACCCGCTCGTCGTTGACCCCATTGTCCTCAAGAAGCGCTTACTAACGTGCTGATGGACGAAGGCAGCAGCCTCACCATCCTCTACATCGACACCCTCGACGCCATGCGCATCCCCGGTTGGAGCTCCGCTAGTGAGCTCTCCCTTCTACGACGTGATCCCGGGGACGCAGGCGTACCCGCTTGGGCAGATTGATCTACCCGTCATGTTTGGCGACCGAGCATTTCGACCAGATAGTCGACTCCACCTCGGGATACGAGATCCTCTCCTTTCTGGATGCCTACTCAGGCTATCACCAGATTGCGATGAAAGAGTCCGATCAACTCGTAACCTCATTCATCACCCCGTATGGTTCGTACTGCTACGTAACCATGCCTTTCGCCCTGAAGAACGCTGACGCCACCTATCAATGGTGCATGCAGCAATGCTTTGCCGATCAGATCGACCCGCTCAACTAGCCTGATCAAGTCGATCGGCCAAAACCAACAATCGTCGTCTATGTTGATGACATAGTCGTCGAAATGGCTCAAGCTTGCGACCTAATCACAAACTTGGCCGTGACATTCACGAACCTTCGAAGGTTCAACATCAAATTGAATCTTGAGAAATGTGTTTTCAGGGTTCCGAAGGGGAAGCTTCTTGGATACATCATGTCTGAACGCGGCATCGAAG